GCGCGGTGGCCCCGGTGTTCGTGGCCACGTCCGTATCCGCGCCGGCATCTAAGAGCAACCTGGTCACTTCAACATGGCCTTCTCCTTAGTAGCCCAGTAACCATATGATGATAAGGGCACCCTTTTGGGGTTGGTTACTTTATAAGGGAACCTTGAACCCAAAAAGGGTAAAGGGTGCCACTGGGCTACCATGCACCTCAATACCCTAAACCCTAAACCCTAAATCGCTAAACCCTAAACCCTAAACCCTAAACCCTAAACCCTGAACCAAAAAAAAGGAAAAGGGTACCACTGCCCCTACTAAGTCTCCAGACGCCCATGTCAGGGGGGAGTTGCCGTCATCGTCGGCCAGGTCCTTGTGGGCTCCAGCCTCCAGGAGCAGCTGGACGATGCCAGCATGCCTATGCTGAACTTGGAACCCTGGCAAAAAAAAATCGTAGCTGTTTCTTAGAAACTATACTCGCCAAAATATAAATTATTGCCAAGTAGCTCTTTCTTTGGAAGTATAGTACCCAAAAATTAAAAGTTGTTCCCAACTCTCCCTAAGGTGCCCCCTTCGAGCTGCCCAAGACAGCGGCCGGATGCCATCCCCGTCGACGAGGTTAGGGTCTTGGGGGAGCAGTAGAATGGACTCAACCTTGTCTGCCACATACCGTTGGTTTGTAGGGAATGAGGGCATAAGGTACCCTATATAATCCCTTAAAGGGTATATATAGGGGGGCTATAGGGTACCTTGTCTCCAGGCAGTTTCTCGTGTCACAAGCTCTATTTACTGCGGGCTCTCGAGCTATCAGGGGACCGTGCATGTCGCCCTGAGCAGCATCTTTAGCTGGTTCAGGGTTTAGGGCTTGGCAGGAAATTGGCGCTGCCCATTGCAGCTACGATCTGGGAGTTCGGGTGGTTTCTGGCACTGTGTTCTTGTTAATCCTACATCGGAGGCCTTGCTATTGTTGAAACACCCGCCTCGGCCACCGAGCCGTTGCCAGCGGCGGCTGCGAGGCTATCTGCCTCCTTCCTTAGGGACAAAACGAACCTTAAAATTGGGACCACAATACCCTGTACTACTATAATTCTTATTAAGGTCATATGAACCATAAACCCTTTTAGGGTTCATTTCGTCCCCAAGGTTCTGGGATGCGCCCACGAAGGTGAGCAGAACGATCTCCAGGTTCATGGGGGAGCTCAGCTTGGTGGCATCATCCAAAGGGTTGCCTTGGAAGAGGAGCCTCTGCCGGAATCGCGGTGGCAAGCCGTGCGCCTGGTTCAAGCGCCGCTTCAGCGCAGCCACGTCACTCAGCTCCTCCACGGGTATTTGCGTCAGCTCTTCCCCTGAAAGCATGCTGATGTGCATCATGCTTGTTAACTGGAATGCCACACAAAGGGGCCTGAACCCTAAACCCGAAACCCTACTGTAAATCCTAATCCCTAAACCCGAACCCCTGAGTGTGGCAGTTGGGTGGAAGCTAAGGCTGGCTACAGCCTGCTGAGCCAAGATTGCCAGCGGCCCATGCTCAGCATCGTGGTACCCACATATGGCTTTAAGGTTTAGGGTATAGAGTTTAGGGTACATATACCCCCAAAAAGCGTGCGTCCAGGGAGTGTCCAGTATTGCGAGGTTGCGAGTGTAAGTAATTGGGAGGAGAAGGTGCTGGGTGGGATCGGCAGGCTGGACGTGGCCTGGCTCGGTATGACATGGGTAGCATCACACTATAACGGCAACAAAGTTCACGCAAGCAGCTGCAAAAATGCATGCACTGACGACTCACGTACAGATCTCTGACCTAAAGCCTAACCCCAAACCCTCACAAGACGCCAGAACGTAGTGGACAATCCACGTCTCCCCCGGCGGGCCTTGCCAGCATTCCGCGTCATGTCCCAAACGAACCTAGGACAACGGCTTTGGCCGGGGGCGGGGGGGGGGCGGCTTCGGGTCATAGATTAAGCCCTAGGAGGTTCAAGGCTGTAGGGTTTAGGGTTTAAGGTAAACTAGAACAGGCAGTACAGGATGGCCCTTAAAACCCTCTGACAAAGATTCCTGAAGATGATCCGAAGATATCCCTAAACCCTACACCCAAAGCCAAAACCCTAAACCCAATAAGGGAAACGGGTTTAGGGTTTAGGGTTTAGGGTTTAGGGTTTAGGCCAAGCGCTTCAATAGGCCAACGGCAGTCTACTTAAGGCTCTCTTCGGATTGAGTCAGGCCATCTTCTGACAAGGAAGGAACCTCGTTGCCCATCCCAGGAACCCCCGAAACCCTAAACCCTAAACCCCAAACCCCAAACCCTAAACCCTAAACCCCAAACCCTAAACCCTAAACCCTAAACCCTAAACCCTAAACCTCTCTTCCTTTAACAGGATTTCTGAACACCAACCCCCCCCCCCCCCCCCCGCTTCGGCTCGGGGCCCGAAGCCCCAAGAGCTGCAACAAAGCTGTTTGCGCTGAGGGTTTAGGGTTTAGGGTTTAGGGTTTAGGGTTAGGGCTTGGGGTTGAAGGTTTCGGTGCAGGGTTTGGGTCTAGGGAGTGGCAACCCGAACATGGGATCAGACAACCCCAACTCCAACCCACCCTTGCAGGGTTCATGGCCCCGAAGGGTTTAGGGTTTAGGGTTTAGTGTTTAGTGTTTGGGGTTTAGGGTTTAGGGTTTGGGTCCAAAAGTGCTGGGAACAGGCTTCTCCCTTTAAAGCCACAACCTTCATGGAGCCTATCCGAACATCCCAGCAAGCCAAGCCAACAACGGCACCCAGTAATTCTAGTAGGCCATATCACATTGGGGATCCTTGAACCTAACCTCGGCCCCCATGGGGCTTCTATCTTGCCGGCGAAGACCCCTAAACAGCATGGACAGACTCGGGTAACCCTTAACCCTAAACTCCTAAACCATGACCTCCTAAACCCCACGACCCTAAACCCCAACACACATCCAAACCCCCAAACCTGCTGACAGCAAGGAGCAAGGTTTAAGGCATGGCCCCAAGCCCTACTTACTGATTCTTACGAGGGAGTGATGGAATTCGGTACCCCTCAGATCCCCTGAAAGGCTGTATAAAGTGGGGGGAGAACCTACTGCCCTCATTCCCTACTAAGAACCTGTTGGCCTAGACCCTTTAGGTGTAGGATTTAGAGTTTTGAGTTTTGGGGTTTAGGGTTGAGGAAAACAGTAAGGTGCAAGGAGCTTGAGAGAGCCATAGAGGAGGTCGCCAACCGCCTTACCACCCTCGGATGGAGGCTTAAGCTTTAGGGTTTGGGATTGAAAGAGTTTGCTGCGCTCTTGGGTTTAGGGCCCTGAACCCTAAACCCTACACCTGGAACCATGGCCCCTGAACCCTGAACCCTGAAGCCCAAACCCTAAACCCTAAAGGCTAAACCGCAGCTAGGCAAGTGTTGACAGCCAGGGCTGATAAGGGTTTGGGGTTTCGGGCTTGGGGTTTTGCGGTGTCTCTGGGATCTGGAGGTTTCAGGATTTAACCCTAAACCCTAAACCCTAAACAATAAACCCTAAACCCTAAACCCTAAACCCAAATTGGTCAGGGCCTTTTGGGTTTTGGGGCCGCAGGGTGCCCATCAGTCACGAAATTTTTCTGGACCCTCCCAAACCTAGGGTTTACGGCTTAGGGTTTAGGGTTTAACCCTAAACCCTACATCCCTAAAACATAACGGCCCAATTATCCCTGCTTGAAACCCCCTACTTGCAAAACTGTATGTCTTAAACCCCGCAAACCCTGTAACCGCACACCCCACACCCCCAAGCCGACCCCCGAGCGATCCACAATCAGGTTTGCACTAACCACCCTGAACCCTAAACCCTAAACCCTAGACCTTAAAACCTGGAAGCTTACCAGCGTAGGCTTTGCAGGTTTAGGGGTAAACCCTAAACCTTTTCTGGCCCCACTTTCTCCTCAAGCACAAGCCGAAACCGGTAATCCCAAAACCTAGAAACCCTAAACCCTAGACCCCATTCGCAGCTCTCGTGTGGCTCAGGGCTTGGAGACTTGCTTGTCTTCGTGATACTAGCCATACAGTCAGGGTCCCTCCCCCCACCCCCCGACAACAAAAACATACCTCAAACCCTAAACCCTAAACCTTAAACCCCAAACTAAGCCCTGAACCCCTCTACCCCTGAACCCTCAACTTTTAAGCCAGCGGTTTCCTAACCCCTAGTTGCTGAGTACCCTGGGCCAAAAAAGGTCAACCTTTCAACTAGGGTAGGATTGTGTATGTCCTCAAATGGCTAAAAACCTACTCGGCTACGAAGTAGCATGTGTCAGATTCTTAGAGTTTCCAAGCTTTGCTTGGGGTCACCCCACCCAGATTACGGGTGCTATGAAAACACCCATCCCAAACAACCCCAGGTTTGGGTTTAGGGTTCAGGGTTGAGGGTTGAGGGTTCAGGGTTTAGGGGTTAGGGTTTAGAATTTAGGGTTTAGGTTTTTTCGGGTTTAGTTCGAACCTTTGGGGCATCCTAAGTCTGACTCAGACTTCCTGAACGCATGAAGACACCCTCAACCAAATCCTAAACCCTCAACCCCAAACCCTAAACTCTATATAAACCCTAAACCACAAACCCTAAACCCTGAACCCTAAACCCTTTAAAGCTGGAGCCCTCAACCCTCAGCCCTATACCGGCCGAAGAATCTAATTCGGCCCTGTGTAGGCTTGGGGTTTAGGGCTTTAACCGTTTTTTAAGGGCTTTTAAGCGCTTTAGGGCCGCGAACACTTTGAGGGGGTTTAGGGTTTAGGGCTTTTCGAAACCACCGGAAGCCCCAGCTAAAGTCGCCCAAAGCCGCGCCGCTCTCACGACGGTGTTCAGGGTATGCTTCCAGCCGAGCTCCATGACACGGCCCACCTCGACATATCTAATGTCGTACTGTTTGTTCATCAATGTCACCGATGCATTTGTTGGTGGTGGTGGTTAAAATCAGAGCTCCAGGAACCAGTCGCAGGAATGGAATGACTGGAATGAGAAGAAGGCCTCAGTGCAGAAACCATAAAACTCTAAAGCCTGAAATCCCAGCAGCATTAAAACCACAGAAGCCATAAGACCCCTTGAACCATGAAAGCCCAAAGCCTCCAACCCAAAACCCTACCACCCTAACACCCTAACACCCTTATACCCGAAGATCTTAAAACCCCAAAACCTCAAACCCTGAAGACCTAAACCCCTCAAACCCTAAAACCCTAAACCCGAGACCCTTCAAACCCTAAAACCCTACACTAAAACCCTAAAACCCTGACACCCTAGGGCCCTAAAACCCTAAAACCCTACAACCCTAAAACCCTAAAAACCGAAACCCTATAACCCTATAACCATAAAGCCCTATAACCCTAAACCCTGAAACCTTGAAGCTGTAAACCCTAGAAACCTAAAACCCTAGAACCTAAACCCTGGAAACCCTGTAACCCTTTAAACCCCATAAACAGAGACTCTTTGAAACACCCCGGCCTTCGGCTAGATATCTACGCCCTAAACAACCTCCCAAAGCACATAAAGTTTAGGGTGTAGGGCTCAGGGTCGAGGGTTGAGGGTTCAGGGTACCATACACCCTAAACCCCAAAACACTAAAACCTAAACCCTACAGCCCTAAACCCGAAACCGGGCCCTGAAAGGACGGCACAGGTGGCGTGTCGGCTGCAGACTGCTCAAGTGTTTGGGGGGAACCCCTGCCCCTACAACCCTGCACCCGAAACCCAAAACCTTATGCAAAGACTACACTTGGTCCCCCCTTATACTAACGCCCTTCAAAGGGATTATAGTACCCCCTATTAAAATCCCTATTAAGGACTGTCAACCCTAAACCCTAAACCCTAAACCCTAAACCCTAAACCTGCTAGCATGAAAAGGGGTAGCATCCCAAGGCTACACGCCCCACGCAGCGGCCTTTGACTTGGTCGTGCGGTTCTGGAACTGGACATCCGACGATGTGTTGAAGGTTTCCCTCGGCACCGAGGGCTTAGGGTTTAGGGTTTAGGGTTTAGGGTTTAGGGTTTAGGGTTTAGGGTCACTAAATCCTAAACCCAAAGTCCTGAACCCTAAGCCCCAAGCGCAGCTCCCTTGTCAAGCTCCTAACTTGTGAGCCAGCATCGTAATAAAGAAGAACGCGAGTTCCCAACAAAGAGGAACGACAAATGGGGGCTCAGGAGAATTCTCTAGGATCCTCCGCCCTACAAACCCTGAAACCATAAACCCTACAAACCCTACAAAACCTTTGCCTAGCACACAGCCGTGCGGGCTTTGACCATAAGTCCAATTTTACCAAGAAAAATGAGCTCTAGCGTTTGGGGTTTGCCCTCAAGGAACTTAGTTTTGGGAGTGTATAGGCTACTGTATAAGTAGGGACATCAGTACCCTAAGTTAGAGGTTATCCACATCATGACCTGTCGTATCTAAGCTACTTGCTAAGTTCCCTGGGCCTTCAAGGGGGTGTAGCTACCAGTCTCGGTCTGTGCTTGGTGGAGCAGTATAAGGTTTAGAGACCAAAGGTCTAGGGCTTAGAACTCGCTTATCGTGCGTTCTGGACTAGGGACTTATGGCCTAAGATAAGTTCACATGTTCAACTTGAAGGCCCCTAACTTTCGGGTCGCCAGCACAAAGTTGCCTGACCCAGAGCTTGAACAAACAACGCCTAGGGCCCATACTTCCTTTCCTAACCTCAAAACCGTTCCAAGCCCTACTCAACGCGTAGAAACCGCATGATAGGGTTTAGGGTTTAGGGTTTGGGGCTTAAGGTTTAGAGTTTATGATGGTAAGCCTGGCTAAACAAGACTCTCGCGGCCTGGAGAGCGTTTGGGCTTAGGGTGTCAGGGTCCGCTGACTGCGACCAATGTTGCTCCAAGAGACGCGCTGCCACTCTCTACTGCTACGACGCCCATCCTACTGTTCAGAGTTTAGGGTTTAGGGTTTAGGTTTAGGGTTCGGGCACGTGCAAGCAGTCTTACATGGAGCTCACAAGAATCCGAGGCCTACCCCCAAGGCCTAACACTAAGCCCTAAACCCTAAACCCCAAACCCAAAAGACCCTAAAGCCTAAACCCTAAACCCTAAACCCCAAACCCAAAAAACCCTAAAGCCTAACACTAAGCCAGCACGGCCAGGAGGCGAGTAGTCAAAGTATGGACCGTAGGAATCTCGGCAGGTTGACATCCCCCTCAACCCGAAACTCAAGAGTTTAGGGTTTAGGGTTTAGGGTTTAGGGTTTCGGGTTTCGGGTCTAGGGTTTCGGGTTTAGGGTTTGGGGTTTAGGGTATAGGTATATCAGGCGTTAGGGCGTTTGTGCCAGTGTTCAGGGTTTAGGGTTGAGCAACCACTGGACACAAGACCAGGACAAACCACATCTTGACATCCTGCAAGATAAGCTCCACAGCCCTGAACCCAACCAACCGAGCCGCCATATACCCTGGCACATCCGCACGCAACAACGTGGTGAGCCACTCCCTTGGGGACTACATGAGCCCTAAAACTGGAAGCGCTCGAGTCCATGTCCCCCTGAAAGGGGCAGGGGAGGGGAGCCAAGGGTACGTTGGCGGGGGGGGGGGGGGGGGGGGGGGGTGGTTAAGGTTCAGGGTTTAGGGTTTCTTGCGCCTGAAACCCAGAAGCCTTCAATAATTACCCTATGAGAAAAAGTGAGCCAGGGAGCAATGCACTTGCAACCGCAGCGCTTCGTCGTGCATCGCATACTCGTTCAAACTCGTGGAAATCTGCGGGCAGTCTGTTGGGGGGGAGGGGAGGGCGAGAAGTACTTCCTTACAAACCCTCCACCTTGAAACCTACAAACCTACACCCCAACATAGGGGGCCTGCATCACTTCACAGTGTATCAGAATGGACATTCTATGTAGCTTACGCTATGTTCATATTCATGTGTATGTATGTATGTATGTATGTATGTATGTATGTATGTATGTATGTATGTATGTATGTACGTATATAAAAAATCCTAAACCCGAAGCCCTGAAGCATGTACTTAGGCTTCTGAATTAGCAGTGTTCAGGGTTCAGCTCCCAAATTTCGTCAACCTCACGCCCGACAGCCGTTTTGGGTTTATGGTTTTTGGGCTCCTTGCCATAGACCTGCACTGCGTCCTGAACCCTAAGCCCTAAGCCCTAAGCCCTAAGCCCTAAACCCTAAACCCTAAACCCTAAACCGTGCCTCCGAAAAGTCTGGCCCTCCCCACTCCATGGTCAGGAAGTCCCCTGCTTGCACTTGAAAATCCTCGGCTGGGTAGGGTTTAGGGTGTCGGGTTTCGGGATTAAGTAGGGGTTAGGGCTTAGGGTTTAGGGTTTAGGGCTAGGGATTAGGGCTTGCGGTGTTCGGTTGAGGATGCTTAGGACTTCCAGTAGGGTATCGGGGGCCGGGTAAGGGCAGCGGGGGGAGGGGGATATCCTCGCACGGCAGAGGCAATGCAACATTGCACACCACAGCGGCCAGGCTTGCTACCCAAACAGCCCTGCCCTAAACCCTAAACCCTAAACCCTAAACCCTACACCCTAAACCCTAAACCCTAAACCCTAACATCCCAGAACCCTCCAACTCCTGATACCGATGCATGGAAGAAAGGATGAACCCGTCATCAATGCCAACATTGCGCGTGGCTACTCAAAGTAATTCGAAGCCAACAGCTATGCTCTGATGTCGACCCCAGAGAGATCATTAAGGGGTACAAGGAGGGACCTCTAGAAGGGACCCTTAATCTTATTGCCCTATATCCCCCCTGTTTACCTTATCTAGTCCCTATATACCTAAGTAGCCCCTAAATGGGGGTTAGGGTTTAGGGTTTAGGGTTTAGGGTTTAGGGTTTAGGGTTTAGGGTTTAGGGTTTAGGGTTTAGGGTGTAGGGTGTAGGGTGTAGGGTTTAACCCCTAAATAACCCCTAAGGTCCCTTCTAGAGGGTCCCTCCTTTGGTCCCTTAGATCAGCTTTTTGGTTCAACCCAGGGTTTAGGGTTTAGGGTTTAGGGTTTAGGGTTTAGGGTTTAGGGTTTAGGGTTCTCCCTGAACCTCCCTCCCTATTCAAGACCAGAGGAAGATAAGGCCCCCGAACTTCAACCTAAGCCCTCCCGGCCTCAGCCCGAATCCCACATCCCACCCTGCAAGCCCTCAACTCTACACCCTTAGCCCAATGAAAGCTCTAAACCCTAAACTTGCCTTAAACCCTAAACCCTAAACCCTAAACCCTAAAACCCAAAACCCTAAACCCTAAACCCCAAATGACACAGCCGAATGCGGCCCAGCAGCCGCGGGGCAGCTGGGTAGCGGGATGTTATCGTCAGCCTGACCGGTTTAGGGATTTAGGGTTTAGGGGTTTAGGGGTTAGGGGTTTAGGGGTTTAGGGCTTTTAGGAGTTTAGGGGTTTAGGGGTTTAGGGGTTTCGGAGTTTAGGAGTTTAGGGGTTTAGGGCTCAGGGTTGAGGCTTGTAGTGGGGGGCTTTAGGGGTTTTAGGGCTTTGGGGGCTTTAGGGGCTTTAGCGTTCAGAGGTAGGGGTTTGGGGTCCAGAGCTTTTGGGGTGTAGGGTTTTGGGATTTCGGCACTTCGTGAGGCTCAGGGTCAGAGTAGTGATGCTCTTGTTTCATTCAACACCTATTAATAATATTTTCTTGCTAGCATTATTACTAATAATATAATTGTTCTTATACTAATAGTAATTACTATTAGAACTATTTTGTTATCATTATCATTATCATTATCATTACCACTACTATTACTATTATTATTTGTTTTTAATTATTCATATTCTTATTATCCTTGTTCGTCTTCTTCCTATTAGTGTCAGTATCAGTATCAGTATCAGTATTCGTACTAGTATTAGTATTGGTATTAGTATTATTAATATCATTATTGTGATTATGAGTTTTACCGTTATTGTCATTCTTGCTGTAATTAATTTTCGTTTGCTTCAGTTTCTTGGGTTTCGTCTACAGGGCCGTAATGTCACAATATAAGCACCCTTGCAAAGGACCATAGTGTATTGACGAGCCCGATGTACACCGGAAACCCTGAACCCTAAACCCTGAAGCCTAATCCCCTGTGAGATGATCCCCTAAGCCAAGTACACCGCCGACCCTTAAGCACGAAGCCATGCACCCTGCGCATATGCCTGCTGCTGAAGCCTGAAATCTGAAACCCAAAACCCGAGTTCAGGGCTTTTGGCGTTGCATACGAATCCCCAAAGCAGACTCACCCCCAACAAATATGCGGGGTTACCATATTTAGCGTGTCCTTAGTAATTATAAGGGCGATCCTCTCTTTGGGGGGTCGATATTAGGGGTCCCTGATTAAACCCCCCGCCCTCCCCCCACCCTCCCCCCCCCCACATATGTGCCAGACGAGTTGCAAAACCATCGCTCTGGTCGGCGAGCTCCGCGATTTTCTCATTGACCACATCGGTGAGCTTCCTTCGGGCGTGTATTGGGGGAACCTTTAGGGGTACAATTTTAGGGGTGCGAGTCTTAATCCCTTGATCTGTGGCCCAAAAGCCTTGCGCTGATAAACCAGGGCTCCCTTGCAGTATCTTCAGCTCGTCTTCGTACTTGGCGTATTTCTCCGGCTTGTCCTCCTTCAAGTTCCTGCTTTAGGGTTTAGGGTTTAGGGGGAGGGGGGGGGGGGGGCTACGTGGGCTTCGTCGCTCATACCTTGTACCGCCATCATGCGGACACGGCACGAGGAATCTGGAAGCCAAACGAGTGAGTTGCCTTTTCCGATTCTATGGCTTGGAGTTTTACTGCCCCCTGTTCTTAGTTCTTGCCGGAACACCTGAGAAAAGGCAGCCCATGAAACAAAGACGAACTGCTTAACACAACAGCCCCCACCCACCGAAATGCTGCAGACCAGAAGCTCAATCAGCTGGTACAGCGCGGCTGAGTAGAAATCGAGCTCTTGCTTCTGGCAGTTCCTTGGCACATAGGCATAACGAGGGTTCATTCCTACTTATACTAACAGTCCTTAATAGGTATTCTGGTACCCCCTACTTATTATCATCCCTACAAAGGACTGTTAGTATAAGGCTAAGGGGGAACATCCCGAGGTTTGGGGTAAGGGTTCATTCCCCTTTATACTAACAGTCCTTAATCGGTACTTCTTATCATCCCCAGTAAGGACTCTTAGTACAAGGGGAACATCCCGAGGTTTGGGCTCAGGGTTCGAAGAGCTGCGCGGGTTTGACATGGTGATCGTAAGAGATTGAGTGGTGCAAGGAGCCTACGACCCGACCCGAAACCCAAAACCCCAAGGCCCCTGAATCCCTAAGGGGGTTTAGGGTTTAGGGTTTAGGGTTTAGGGTTTAGGGTTTAGGGTTTAGGGTTTAAAAAGCTCCACAGACCCCACACGCTCTGCAGAGACCACAGGGACAAACACGCTAATCTTGTGGGTCAGCCAACAGCCCCAACCCTAAACCCTAAACCCTCAACCCTAAACCCTAAACCCTAAACCCCTAAACCCCTAAACCCCTAAACCCCAAGTCCCAAACCCCTCATCCCAAACAGGGATCGACTACTTCTGCGTCCTAGGACTGAGGTTGCCGGCTCTAGGGTTTAGGGTTAAGGCTTTAGGGCTTTAGGGTTTTAAGGATTTAGGGTTTAGGGTTTAGGGTTTTGGGTTTTAGGGCTTTAAGGTTTTAGGGTTTGAGGGCTTTATGGCTTTAGGGTTGTAGGGTTCTGCAGGGTTCTACGGTACCGCGTACCCTAGATCGGATGGTAGACTAATGAAACGACTGAATCCCAACAAGTTATGTAAACCCTAAACCTTACACCCTGAACCCTAAACCTTAAAGCCTAAACCCCAAAGCCTAAACCCTAAACCCTAAAAACCTAAAGCCAACCCTACGTCATATTATAAGGCATGCTGGAGAGCCCGAAGCCTTTCAGAGAGGCGTTAGGGTTTAGGGTTTAGGGTTTAGGGTTTAGGGTTTAGGGTTTAGGGTTTTGTTGCTTGCAGGGTTTCAGGGCTCTGGGCCTCGAGGGTTCTAGGGTTCTATGGTTCCAGGGGCTTGGGGTTTAGGCCTCAGGGTCCAGGTTTAGGGTTTAGGGTTTAGGGTTTAGGGTTTAGGGTTTAGGGTTTAGGGTTTAGGGTTTAGGGTTTAGGGTTTAGGGCTTCGGGCTTCGGGAAAATCCTGCCTCCGAGAGACGTGCTGAGCACCCTGATCAAGGGCTCCATGCTGGAAGTGTGACCCCAGAACTTGTACCACGCACCGGCCTGCGCACTTGGAAGCGGTTTAGGGTTTAGGGTTTAGGGTTTAGGGTTTAGGGTTTAGGGTTTGGAGTTTAGGGTTTAGGGTTTTGGGTTTCGAGCTTAGGGTCTACAGAGCACTGCTTGGAAGCTCTTTTGTAGAGCACCTTGGGGGTTCTCTGGGGGTTATTTGGGGGCTACTTAGGTATATAGGGACTACAAAAGGTGTGTGTGTGTGTATATATACATATATATATATATGTATATTATATATATATATAGGGTTTAGGGTTTAGGGTTTAGGGTTTAGGGTTTAGGGTTTAGGGTTTAGGGTTTAGGGTTTAGGGTTTAGGGTTTAGGGTTTAGGGTTTAGGGTTTAGGGTCTAGATGTATATGTATATATACATATACTATGTAGGGGGAGTAATTAGAGTAAGGGTTCCCTTCTAGGCCTCCTTAGAGAAGGCCGCGGTCCCCTTCCTTTGAAGACCCTCTCTCTTTGTGAGCGATATTCAGGCCCCTAAACCCTAAACCCTAAACCCTAAACCCTAAACCCTAAACCCTAAACCCTAAACCCTAAACCCTAAATCCTAAACCCTAAACCCTAAACCCTAAACCCTTAATCAAGCTCCTGAGAGGCACCCACCTTGTAGGTTCCTGCCTTCCTGTTGGCGGCATCAGCACCTGCGGAGAGTTTAGGGTTTAGGGTTTAGGATTTAGGGTTTATAACCCTATAGGGTTTAGGGCTATAGGGCTTAGGGCTAAGCTCTCAACCTTGCAATCCACAGCCGCAAGTATGAACAATTTTCCAGAACCCTGACTAAAGACGGCTAGAATCGGGCAAAAAAATCCTAACCCAGCGCCCCTCTCGATCCTTCTTCTGTGAGCATTTTCCCACAGAGGGGCATCCCTTGTCCTCCACATGCTAAAAGCCTTGGTGTTAGGGTTTAGGGTTTAGGGTTTAGGGTTTAGGGTTTAGGGTTTAGGGTTTAGGGTTTAGGGTTGGAAGTTTCCCAATTTGTGGCAACCCCGCCCCATGTATGGCACATGGCTTGTTGAGCGAGCCTAGATGGCAGTGAGAGTCAGAAAGGAACGAGGATGGCCCTTAAAACCCTCGGGAAAAGATTCCTGAACATGATCCCCTTAAACCCAATGAGAGAAGATAAGATATGAAATATCCCAAGGGCGGCCTACCTGGAGAAGAAATCTTGCTGTGTGTACTTCGACAGAGTTTGGTAGCAGGATGCCAACTTCCTGAAAGCGCTGCTGTCAACAGGCCCTCATCCCTGTGTTAGGGTTTAGGGTTTAGGGTTTAGGTGGGGGGGGGGGAGCGCCTTTCCCCACAGTCTGGAGCTTCTCGACCCAGTCCTGGGGTGTGTTTTTTTTGTTTATTTAGGGTTTAGGGTTTAGGGTTTAGGGTGTAGGGTTTAGGGTTTAGGGTTTCGAGGGCTTGCGGGCTGGACCTTCAGCTCTCCAACCCCATGGGAAGGCCACATGTGCGCGTACAAACCCTTATCCGTATGACAAACCGGCTGAAACATTCCATATACTTGCCTAGTACGACTACGTTGGTCGGGTCATCAGGTGCTTAGACTACAGGTGCCTAGAGGACGGAGAAGGCTTTAACGTTGTCAGGAAATCAAGGAAAGTACAACCCCAAATCCTAGACCCTCCGTCGTTTTCCCCCAAAACCCTAAACCTTAGAACCCTGTAATCCTGCAACCCTAGGCAACCGAAGTATCTCTACCCTCGCAATAAATACATCCCTAAACCCTAAGACCCCAAGTCTTCCCCCCGCAACCCTATACCCCCAAGTCCCTCAACCCCACAACCCTACAACCCTAGAACACTATAACCTTGGGTCTCCCTAGATATCTCGAAAAGCCCTAAACCCTAAACCCTAAACCCTAAACCCTAAACCCTAAACGCTAAACCCTAAACCCTAAACCCTCCCCCCAAGCATCTCGAAAAAAAACCTGGCCCCCAGGCCTCACAGTGGCCGTTCTTCGTCGAGGACGTGAGGCCCAGCCACCGGCAAACAGACTTGCATCCTGGCTCCTTGTAGCTGAGGTTCCCGAAAAGTATGGGTTTAGGGTTTAGGGTTTGGGGTTTAGGGTCTAGGGTCTAGGGCTTAGGGCTTAGGGTTTAGGGTTTAGGGTTTAGGGTTTAAGGTTTAGGGCCCTTCGTTTGCGTCCCTTGCTACATTTTCCTTCTATACACTATACATACAACCCTTATATACGCTATGCATCCTTGCTCCGTGTACCGCGTGCGGGGGAGGGGGGGGGGGGGGCCCGGGGTTTAGGGTTTAGGGTTTAGGGTGTAGGGTTTAGGGTTGAGGTTATTTACCTCGTTGTACCGCGTGCCGGGGGGGGCTTAGGGTGCTTTAGTGTCTAGGGTTTAGCAGCTTGCTGCTTGTACCACGTGAGGGGGGCTGAGGCTTTAGGGTCGCAGCTCATGCGCCATGTGAGGGGGGCTACGGGTACCATGTGAGGGGTTGTAGGGGTTAGGGCTTTAGCTCCTTGTGCCACGTGAGGGGGATTGAGGGCTTAAGGGCTTTTAGGGCTTCCTGGCTTTAGGGCTTTAGGAAACCGTAGACCCTAAACCCTAAACCCTAAACCCTAAACCCCAAACTCCCTTTTTCAGGGCTTTAGACTTCATAGGGCTTGGCCGGGATGAAGGCTACCACGGCCCCTACCGGCTTCTCGGTGGCCGATGGAACTGTGCGAGGTGGGGTATATAACCCTAAACCCTTAACCTTGGGCTGTTCTCCTTTAGACGAACAGCCCTTACTAAACCCTAAACCCTAAACCCTAAACCTTAAACCTTAATAGGGAATGTCATCCCCCCTTTTATAATCCCTACAAAGGACTGCCAGTACATGGGGAAACGTCCCAACCTAAACCCTACAAAGTCTAAACGAGGTGGCGACCTCCATATGAACCCTGAAGACACTTGGGGGCTTTACGGCATTTAGGATTTTCCTGAGGGTTTAGGATGGAAGGTTTTTTGCAGGGCTTAGGGTTCAGGACTTGGAGTTTAGGCTGCGACATGTTGTTGCTACCTGCTACCAGCTGCTTTGCCCATAAAGCTGGTGTTCTAAGAATGTTGTTCTCATCGTTCTAAGTCTGCGAAAGAACTTTCGAGAATTTGTACCCTTGAGCTTAGTTTGATCAAGTTTTGCTGGCACAGGCGCAGCCTGGCTACAGGCGCTGAAACCCGCCACCAGCTCTCGAAGTCATCGTGCTTCGCTACACCAGATGAACCAAGCAACTAACTTGCTGTGTACTGCCCCCCCTTCCCCAAACAAAATCGGAAGCCCCAAACTTGGGATGTCACTTATACTAACAGTCCTTATAATAGGGATTTTGGTCCCCCCCCCCCCCCCCCCGGCTGTAATCCCTATTATGGACCGTTAATGAATATGGGGGGGGGAACATCCCAACCCTAAACCCTAAACCCTAAGCCCTGAACCCTAAACCCTAAACCCTATATTCCCTAAACCCTAAACCCTAAACCCTAAACCCTCAACCCTAAACCCTAAACCCTAAGCCCTAAACCCTAAACCCTAAACCGTAAACCCTAAATTCCCAAACCCTAAATTCCCTAGACAGTAAAGGGGTCTGGGTCCGAGGTGTGGCTGTGGCCTCGATGTCGCCATCTTGGCACGCCGCTGGCTCGTTCTCGCTGCCTCTGGCAGCATTGCGAAAGGCGTCACCTGAATCGGTTGAGGGTTTAGGGTTTAGGGTTTAGGGTTTAGGGGCACTAAATCCCTAAGAACCCGGGTTTGGAGTTTAGGGCTCAGGGCTAAATAAACCCTATTCGGTTTATGGTCCATATAACCTGAACAGGGATTTTAGGTTGTGCTTACAGGGCATACGAGGGTGGCAAAAAATGCTGAAAAGGGCTTGCGTAGAGGGATTCGATAGAGGGATTGGGGTTTACGTCTTCAGCGCTTGAGGCCTTGGGTTTGTTCAGCGTTATTCGGGTTGACATACCCCAAAGCTGGACTCCAAACCTGAAACCCTCTTTCTAGGCATACGTATGCTTAGGGTTGAGGGTTTAGAGTTTCGGGCGAGTATGGCTTCATGTAGCAAGCAAATCAAGTACAGCCCCCCTCGCCCCCAAGGGAACTGCAACTGTCGGGGGTGGGGCGTCCAGGTTTCAACGTTCGAGCCTTATGACGCGAATCCTAAACCCCAATCATAGAAACCCTACACACCAAAAACCGCCCATAAAGATGAAGGAGGATTTACAGGGTTTATGGGGTTTAGGGTTGAGCTCTCCGTCACTCCATACACCCCTGACGATGGGGAAATATGTTCCCTTTGAAAGGCTGTCAAAGGCGCACACGGATAGTTTTTGATAGCACCTAGACACTAAACTACTATTTGCTTAAGAACCCCCCAAAAAAATCTGCAACAGTCTTCCTGATAAGGGTAGCATAGGCATTACAGTGTTTTATTTTGGGGGGTTCGTAAGCAACTAGTAGTCCTAAATCCTAGCCCTAAACCCTAAGACCTAAACCCCAAACCCTAAACCCTAAGTCCTAGCGCCAGATCTTTAAGACCAGCCTCAGTCGGTGGCTCGGGACGAGCAGGGGCAAGACGTGGACCCTGTAAACCCCATTACCTTAAGCCTTAGACCCTAAGCTCTAAAGGGCTTATTTAGGGTTTTTAGGGTTTAGGGTTTAGGGCTTAGGGTAACCCAAAACACCCTAAGCCTTCAACCCTTAAGCTCTAGCCCGAAACCCTAAAACCCCGAACAGCCCCTAAACTTCCGCCCCCAAGTTTCGCACCAAGTGTGGCCTTCAACTGCCAGGGATAGCAGGATCACCGGCAGAACCCGAGGCACCATGACTGTCATCTCGACAAGTTTTCCCCTTGGAGTTGTCAAACGACTTTGAGACTTGAGCCGAAATCAGCCCCCCCCCCTGGTTCTTTGTAGGGAGTGACGCAAGGAATGATGGAATGAGGGAATGAGGGCCCTATATATATACATAATATGTATATACCCTTTAAGGGATTACATGGGGCCCTCATTTCCTCATTCCCTACTAAGAGGAGCCAGCCAGTCAGGGTCGCGGGTGCCGCTTTTATAGGCTCCTCTCAGTCAACACTTACGACGGAAAGGAAGATACAGGTGATCCCCTAAACCCTAAAACCTAGCCCTAAACCCTAAACCCCTAACCCCAATGTGTTGTGAAACTGGCGCGGGAGAGGTAGTTACTTGCTCTGCGCTTTTTGTTCCGCTGTTGGCGGGTCGACGTCTAGATCTTGCACTAAACGACTGTATATAAGCTGCGTGAGTTGAGATTCTTTTAAAAGGAAAAGTTGCACGCAAACTTCTGATCCCCCCCAATCTACTCACATCGTCAGAGATTCGTATTTGCAAAAAGAAATCGCGCTTGCTGAGGCAGTCTGCCTCCGTAGATAGAGGGGGTTGGACGTTGAACGCGAGAAAACTTGGTCACAAGCAATCCCTCTCAGAAATGCTCGAGGTTGAAACTGCCGCCTCTGTCCATGCGGTCCTCATCAAAATGAACCCTACTCACTAAACCCTTACACCCCAAAACCCTCAACCCCTAAACTCCTACACCCCCAAAACCTAAACCCTAAACCCTAAACCCTAAACCCTAAACCCTAAACCCTAAACCCTAAACCCTAAACCCTAAACCCTAAACCCTAACCCTAAACCCTCAACCCCAAACCCTGGCATTTAGATTCTGAACCTGTCAGTCTCAGCCTGTGATGTAGGAGTTTACGATAATGAGGGACCCCAAATATAGACCCAAAAACAAGTAGGATTCCCTGAGAATTGGGACCCAATAAGGTACCCCTATTTCGAAAATGGGCTTAAGAACCCTCCAAACAGATGCTAATCCCTAGTTACCCTTATCAGGAAGAACATTTCTAGTCTTCTGGGGGTTGATTTTCGAAAACCCCCATATAGGGGTGAGGGCGCTCAAAGCACCCTGCGAGGAGGGAGCTCGCTGCCTTGTGCACAGAGGCGTTGGAGCCATTTTGGTGTTTAGGGTTTAGGGTTTAGGGTTAAGGGTTTAGGGTTTAGGGTTTAGGGGGTTGTGACCTTCACGCAGAGGGGCCGAGTGCCACTTCAACTGGCACAGTGCCACAGCGCAAGGTGCGCACCACCAGGGCAGACAACAGCACGGCAGCATCCAGTATGACCCTAAACCCTAAACCCTAAACCCCAAACCCTAACCCCTAAACCCTAACTAAACCCTAAACCCTGCAGAAAGATGCTTGTCGTTGCACGGAAGACTCCCAGACTCACGGCTCCTCCTAACTGTGAGGACCTGCTCGTTGAAGCGCTGCGGCTTCCTTCTTTTCGCATCCACGGCGATCGCCACGAAACGCGGGGAAAGTAGGGTTTAGGGCTTAGGGTGTGGGGTTTAGGGCTAGAGCTTAGGGTGCGGAATCTAACTCCCTTTGTGGGTATGAAAACTTTCACAACCAGAGCCCTGTGTAGAAAGCACCCCTCAAGGCATCCCAACTGTGCATCGGCCTCCGCCAACTGCGAACTCTCTTGAGAAGCCCTAAAACCTAAACCCTAAACCCTAAACCCTAAACCCTAGACCCTAGACCCTAAACCCTAAACCCTAACTAAACCCCAAACCCCAAACCCCAAACCCCAAACCCTAAACCCTAAACCCTAAACCCTAAACCCTAAAGGGTAGGACTTAAGGTGTTTAGGGTTTGGGGTTTAGGGGCTTGCAAGTTCCGTCCAGCGAATTGCAGAGCCGGTTGGTTGTAGTCAGAGCCTGAAGGCGCCCTAAAGATTGGATATGGTGCAGGGTTTAGGGTTTAGGGTTTAGGGTTCAGGGTTTAGGGTTTAGGGTTTATGGTTTAGGGTTTAGGGTGCAGAACTGATCATGAGGCTTCATGTTATAAACGCTTGAGGTCTCTTTGATGAGTCCTTCTGGGGTCTCTACGCGAGTCTACTCCAGGGTACCAGAAAGGGCTCATGAGGACAAACCCACATGTATGCGTCGGGTTGGGGACTTACCAGGCTTAGGGTTTTTCAGGGAATTTTCAGTCCATTGAACAGCCGCAAATCGTAACTTCCCTAAACAGTAAACCCTAAACCCTAAAACCCGAAACCCTTAACCCTAAACCCTTTCACCCTAAACCCTAAACCCGGGCTCCATTCAGTTGATGTGCTGCTACCAGCACATCTACGCGAGCCCCAAGAGCTTGTACTCATTGAGGACGGCCTGTCAAATCGGGCCCTTCTATCTTTAGGGTTTAGGGTTTAGGGTTTAGGGTTTAGGGTTTCGGGTTTAGGGCTTAGGGCTTAGGGTTTAGGCCGGAAAGACACAGAAACTCTGGTTTCGTTGTATCTGCTGTGATGTCATGAACTCCTTCCCAACCTTTCCCCCCCTTCTCCCCCCTTGCTCCCCTTCTCCTTCCTCGTTCAGACAGAGCCCTAGAAAGCCCACCCTGCCTCGACATCTCGATGGCAGCCGATAACCACAGGGCACCTGGGGTTCGGTACAGGGTTTGTTTCGGGTTTTAGATTTTAATTAGGGCTTAGGGTTTAGGGTTTAGGGTTGAGGGCCTAAGGAGGTTGATGTTGGGGGGGGGTGAGTGGTGGAGACAGGACACCGTTGCAGCTTGGGTTGAGACACGGACGAGGTCTGGTGCTGCACAATGGGTTTAAGGTTCTGGGGCAGCGTCCAGGAGCAAAAATGGGAGTTCCAACCAATCCGTCACACTCTCGATCACCGAGCCCCGAAGCCCTAAACCGCAAATTACCAAACCCTCCCGAAAGCCGAAACTCCGAAACTCAAGGCCCTGGAGGCTAAGTAGTAGTCGTCGTCGTAGTAGTAATAATTATAGCAGTGGTGGTGGTGGAAGTAGTAGTAGCAGCAGCAGTAGCAGAAGCAGTATTCCCCGGGATGCTGGGGTGCGCGCTTCTCATGGATGGTCTTCGGCACAATGTCCAGGAGTCTCTGAAGCTTGCCTGCCGCTTCAGGCAAGTCTTGGGACGAAGCCCCTAAGCCCTAAACTTGGGATGTTCCTCCTGACAATAACAGTCCTTAATAGGGATATAAAAAAGAGCAAAATCCCAACCCCAACCAAACCCTAAAGCCTCCACGTGGTATGGACTTCAGGCCCACAGAATGGCTCCAGGGTCACTTCTGGGATCTCTTTTTTGATTTGTTTTTTGTTGCGGGGGGGGGGGGGGGGGGGCTCAAACTAAAAGCCCCGCGTCAACCCTCGGGCCTGGATTCTGAATATAGAAGAACCTCATATAAATATATATATATATAGATTAATTTGTATTTAACAATGACTAAAAACAATCGTCATGATAATCCTACTAATCAATAGTGAAGAACCCCATCTACATTCGTAATAATCGTAATACTACTAACAGCGAATAACAAAAACAATAACAATTTTACGAATAAGAACAACACGAACATGCAAACGTAAATGCAGATGACTAACACAATAGCAAGAAGCAACACGGATACTAAGAAGATATAAGAACAAAAGAGTAGCAGTGATAAACAAGAAAAAGACGGCATCAACAAGTGGAAGCTGCTCGCAGTGATGTTTTTTCATACATCTATACAGATAATTAGAATATTACTAACAATAGTAATAGCAATAATAATCATAAATAATACATAAACAAATAGTAAATAAACAAATAAATAAATAAATAAATATATATATATATATACATATATACATATATATATATATATATACAACCCCAACAGCCGCCTTTGAACAGGCCACAAGACGCAGCTCCCCCGGCTTGCTCCATGATGAAGGCCATGGGGAATCCCTGCCAAAGGATCAGGTTTTTTTGGGCTTAGGTAGGGCCTACTGGGATGGGCGATTATACCCTATTAACCCCTTAAAAAGTGGCTAAAAAGGGGGCTTAGGTAGGGCCTACTAGGATGGGCTACTATACCCTGGGGAATGCCTTAAAAAGGCCCTTTGTAGGGACTACTAGGATGGGCTATTTATACCCTATATAATGCCTTAAAAAGGCCCTTTCTAGGGTTCATCAGGATCTAGGGCTTAGGTAGGGTCTACTAGGATGGGCTATTGTACCCTATATAATGCCTTAAAATGGCCCTTTCTAGGGTTCTTGAATTTAGGCCTTCTATATATAATGCCTTAAAAAGGCCCTTTCTAGGGTTCATGATTTAGGGCTTAGAAGGCCTACTAGCATGGGCTATGATACCCTATAACCCCCTCAAAAAGGGGCTAAAAAAGGGGGGGATTATACAGGGGTCGATGATACCCTAGAATGCCTTAAAAGGCCCTTGATAGGGTTCATTATGGGGATTACAAGGCCTAGTAGCCCACCCTGGTAGGGCATAGGGTTTAGGGGGTTGGGCCCACATCAAAACCAACTTAGAGCCTCCTGAAACCGCAAGAAGAAGTTCACGAGTTCACAGGAGGAGGTGCCGCACATTCCGTGCTGAGATCCTACCCTAAACCCTAAACCCTAAACCCTCCTTCATGAGGGCTGGAGGGGTCAGAGAGCGGAGGTCTGTCATCATTCTAGCCCGAAGCGTGAGTGAGACATTATCGGGGCGTGGGGACGACTGCAGCTGCAAAGCCTAGATGGGCCTAGTACAGGGACTTTAATAATTCGAATACGCTTTAGGGGGTACTATAGTATACTATAGTATACTTATAAAGGGACCCTGAGGGAATACTATTCGTAATTCTTCCGACCCCTATATTGACTGTAGGGGCCCATAGGCTTGCCGTACCAGCGTTCATGTGGAAACAAAGCCGACATCCACATGCACATTTCAAGTAGAACCAAGGGTTTAAGGTCTAGGGTTTAGGGATTAGGGTTTAGAGGAGTTATCCCAAAACCGTAGGCTAAAACTGGGTCTTGCGTTTCAGGGTTTGGGTTTTAGAGTGCCATAGGCTATTTGACTCTTTTGGTTTGCTGTGAGATTTCTTGACAGTCTGTTATTTTATGCATTCTGTTACTACTTCAATCTCATTATATTATGGTATATCATTCAACTGTATGATTGATAATTACTTCTATCACTACACTAGTATATAACTATATATCATAAGACAATTAGATTAGTAAATGTTATCTTGTCATTAGTGAACTAGAATGTTATATGCTTAAACTATTGTCTTACTGCCTTACAATCGTTTTCTGGTCTTAAATGTCCTATTTTCTTATTATCACATTTTCATATGATATCTGTAGAAGATTATATTGTTGCATTGCTATGTTATTAATTGTTAACTGCTATTGCATTGTGAAGTCGTTCGGCTTTATAGACTGTAGGGGTCATAACCGTTCGGCAAGGCCCTGACTAAGCTGAGTCCACGCAGACACTTAGCAAGAGTTGGAGTCTGGGGCTTTAGGGTTTAGGGTTTAGGTTTTAGGGTTTACACCCTACACATCCCTAAACCCTAAATCCTGATTCCTAAACCATAAACCCTTCAGGGTTTAGGGTTTTGCTCTTTGGGCTTAAGAGCTCTCAGTTGGGGTTCGATGCCATGAGGGTCCAAAGTCACGGGTCTGGAGTTTTGGGCCGGCTTCAGATTGTTCAACCCTAAACCCTCAACCATGAACCACTTCACACCTCTGAGAACTCGGTACTCTTAAGGGTGCAATAGAGCAGGTTTCACACACACACACACACACATGAGCATGGTTTTGCAGGTTTAGGGGCTCTTGGGGAGCCTGCAAAGGAGCACTTTTGTGGCTCTTAAGGTAAATCAGTGAATCCTACACCTACAGTAAAATCCGACACCCGAACCCCACTAAACCCTAAAGCCCCCAACCCGAGCTGCGTTCGCCTCGTAGAGGACTCGCAACTTGCCGTTGGGCGACTTGGCGTCAGCAGGATAGAGGTAAACTCCGCCATACAGGATGGTGCGGTGCACATCCTCGGTGAAAGAGAGCTTAGGCTCTTAAGGGCTCTTAAGGGAAATTCGAGCGAGTTTGGGGTTCGACCAGTTGAGCGCTGAAACTTGGAGGGCTCAGGGTTAGGGTTTAGGGTTTAGGGTTTACGGTTTAGGGTTTATAGGGTTTAGGGTAAACCTTCGAGATCGGGTTTCATGAAAGTTCTCCTCCCCCGCCCCTCACATCGGTTTGAGTAAGCGGTTGATCTACATTAGGGTGTGTAGGGTTTGTTGTGGTTTGCAAGTGCCTTCTGTTGGCAGACACAAGTGCGCTGCTGAGATCTTCTGAGTATGGCACTTAAACTTCAACTGGAAGCCCAAAAACTCGTGCACTACTGGGGCATGCAGACGAATCAAAACATGCCCCAGAGCCATTTGTCAAAAATCACCGGGTTCTTGTGGGGACTCTTCTCTATGTTAGGTTGCCATCATAGGATGCTCTGACATCTACACTCCTCATTTCCTTCGAGCTGCGGACACCATGGAACCCACGTAGCGCGCCGCATAGGGCTTCACTGGGTCCTGCGCCAACCCCCCGGCCGCCCCAAGAACGTAGCCTTGATTATAGGCCTGCAAGATGCCCTGAATGCTTAGGGCTTTCGGCTTAGGGTTTAGGTACAGTACCTAAGGCTTTAGGGTTTAGGGTTTAGGGTTTAATTAGGGGTGAAGGGCTATAGCTTGTGGAGGGGGAGGGGGTTGGGGTGAGTGGGGGCTTGAGGTCGGAGAGCACAGTTGCGGTGCTTCTGCAGAGCGTGTGTAAGGGGTGCCGAAGGCGCTGCACGACTTCAACATCGGAGCGGCCAGCCCCTACACCCTCAAGCCCACTGCCCACAGGTTTGGGGCCTGGGGTTTAGGGTTAGCTGTTGGTTCGTCGGTTGGCCAGCAAGACTTGGCGGCGGCACGGCTTAGACCCTAAACCCTAAACCCTAAACCCTAAACCCGAAGCCCTAAACCCTTCTACCTGAAAGTGGCCAAGATGGACGGAATCATGTCACGGTCCACTGCCGGCATTCCTTGTTATTCCTACTAGACCTTGTGCACATGGTAGATTTAACCTGGGGCATGAAACCCAAAACCTTATACTCTTATACCTTAAGCCCTAAACCCTAAGCCCCTGAATGTCCCGAAACCCTAATCCCCAGGCTTACGATTGAGGAATTATTGAAGAGTTTAGTGGCTATGCTGCCTCGAGGTGTCTGTCAGTTTAGTCATTGAAATTGGGGGAATGGAGCTTTCTGTTTGGCCAAGGTGGTTCCTACGTGATCCCCTTCTTGGAACGAAGTATCTACTGTACGGGTACACGAAGGCAGGCTCTGATTGCTGATATCCCCTATAAGTAGGAAATCTCCATGTATACACTGACACATATTCATAAAGAACGTACATATATATATATATATATGAGCACGCACGCACACGTTCTCACCAATAACAGGAATATTAACCCAAGAGTAGCCTAGGAATGAGAAGGGTACCCTGTTTGGTTTACAGTTTCTAAGGCAATCTAAGCCCCCCGAAAATGGAATAAGGGTCTACTCTGGATCCTAGGAATATAAACCCTAAACCCTAAACCCTCAACCCTAAACCCTAAACTCTTACTCACACGGATCTTTTTGGGGACAGCTTTGTCCTTCCACTTGGCGATGATGGACTTGATGGCAGCATCCCAGTTGGCGCTGTTGCCTCAACACATCAGCGGACGACCCGGCACCCAAGCAGATTGAGATTCCCAAACCCTGAAGCCTACAAAGCCTCAACCCTAAACAAGGTCCCACACAGCCACACATCATAGACTCATAGACCAAAACACCCCAAACCTTGTGCAAACCCTGCACTCGGAGCCCCGCACCAGGATTGAGAGTCCCCCAAACACGAAACTCTAAACCCTGAACCCCAGCACTCCACCAGTCGACTGAGG